TAAAGTTTGTAAAGTTACAGAGCAAGACGACGAATAATCGCAATCATTTTATTATAATATTCTTCTTGTGTACGCCTTTTTTATTGTAACCTTTTTTTATACCTATACAAAACTAATAAATCCAATAAATATACATACAATTTTTTTAATATTATGTAAATATATCCCCGCCAATATATATATATTTTTTTATTTATATTTTTTTTATTTTTATATATTTTTATTTTTTTTCTCGGCAACGGTTGAGAAGCGCATCGTCTCCGTACAGCATTTGTCACTTCTATATCAATACTACATTTTAGTAAAATTTCGACAAAATTGGTGACCCCGAGGGTCGACCCTTCCCTTGTCAGTTTATTATATACGTCTATATGTTGCAGACAAATATTAATATCTAACGTAACTTGTTTGTGGGCTACAATACATGAATTTTTTATATTTGAAATATAAAAAAAATAAGTCTCAATGTATGTGTTTACATCTTTTGAAGAAACTTGAAAAAAACGCATATAAGTAACATACAGGAAATACATATCGAAATAATGGATAAATTTTTGATCGATAGCTACGAAGGTGATAATAATCGCGTCATGTTCCCTGAATTAAACGGAGATATTGGACGGAACATGTGGGCCGCGCCTTCGATGCGGTAGCGATACAATCTTCATACCATGTATGTTAATTCAGCAAAATATAATTAATCGGCTTTGTTATCGCGAATTGCATGTGCGCGCACTCAAGGGATCGTCAATCACAGTAGCTTATTTGTTGCTTGTCCTTGAAATAAGAATATTGTATATACTGTGAAAATTCGATTTTAGGTCCTTGACCGTATTGATCATTATTGGTTTTACAAAAGCATTCTAGACGGTCAGTCACGATCTTTTCCTAGCCTCCTAAACTTCGGCAGTAGATAATACGGCCTATTCTGCTCTGCTGTCTTTTTATTGCAATCCTTATAAATAGGAGGAGCATAGCAAGCAGTACCTGTTGAGAAATTTCCCCTTTTCCTTTCTCCACTTCAATATTCCACCTGGTATCTCAAGGTCCCATTCTTGGTCCATCATCACTTACCTTATTCTACTACACTGATTCTACTAATATAATAAAAATGAAGTTCATTGTAAGCCACCAACACCACCAAAAGATATGTAAGAACGTATCACAAAACCACGTATTAGAATCTCTTAATTGACACTGTAGAATGTTTTTTAATTATAAATCGATTAAATGTTTGTATCGATTTGGTCAGCATTTTGAACAGTATTTAATATACGAGTAGAACTTCTATTGCAAACAGCTTATTAAATATAAATTTTAGATCTAATATGGCTTAATATTTTTTTTATCCAGTGTTCATTGCTTTTTCCATTTTTATTAAAAAAAATATGAGATATTTTATTTAAAAAACTCAAAGTATAATCTTCTTAATATATAAAAAATGCAGGAAAAAAAATTGCTGTAGTGTATATTCCTCTTCATACTATGAATTCCTCTTCATGCTTCATGCTATTGTGTAATTTTTGTTTATAATATTTGCCATACAACGAATAGATTGCGAGTCATTAAGTTAGGTGAATAATTCTATGTAGAAAATTCGCTGGACAGTGGACAGTCAACATATTAATAGTTTATCTGTATTTTTTATATTTAAATATTTCATGCTATTATAATTAACATAATAGACTTATTATTATTTTTAAGCTTGTTCGCATAATGGGCATTTTATTACATTTACAAAATTTATCTGATCTTGTTCGGAACAAATTGATTACGTTTTGTTAAATGTGAGTTCTTTTCATGACATTATAAAGTTAATAATGAAATAACTTACATCACTAATGAAAAAGAATCGATAAGGATTAAAACAACGATAAATGTTCGAAACGTATAAACAATAAATAGAATGAGCAGCTCTTAAATATTATTAGTAGAATAAACTAATAAGTGATGATAATAAAACTGTTTCTTAAAGCCAAGTAATAAGTACAAGGTGACACAGCAACATAAAAAGAAAATTTCACAAAGCATACCGAAAAGTTGATTTACGGGCAAGATTTCTATGATTGCATTTATCATTCATCATTTATTAATAATATTAAATCATCATATATTTTTTTTATTTTTTGCATGTATAAATTTTTTTTAATTTAAAAAGTTATTGAATGGATTAAATATTATAAAAATGTTTGTGCTATTTCAAAAGGTTGAATATATTAATAAAACATAAGCTTATATATTACATTTTTTATGCTTATCTTTAATATTGACTCTATCGTCGAAGCAAAAGAATGAAATTGATACGAATTCGCGATCTTTCATTCAATCTCTTTCTTCTCTTTACGTGCTGGAAAAGAAGAAATGGAACTGGTCTGGTAAAATGAAACTGGTCTGGTAAAATGGAACATCTTAGATATAGCTCACTTCCCTACTTTGGTGCTTAATGGATCGGATTACGGTTACGTTGCGAGCTAAAAAGTTTTTAGGCTATCAAAAACGAAAAATCTGATTGCATGGAATGCTTGGACCTTCGTATAGACTCTTTTTGTATCCAAGCATGCTGTTATTGTCGCAATATTCAGCGCTTTTATTATATATAAGACCGCTGTAAGTAACTTGCGGAAAACACATCTTTCGTATAAAAAAAATCATTATAATTATAATTCGCCGAAGATTTTCGTTAAATTTATAGAGCATGAATCACATAGCGGGGACACGTTATTAAATTATAGACAAATTGCAGTAGTATCTTGAACGATTTACAATACTTTGTAGAATTGCATTTCAGCTGTACACATATGGAGAAGGATAGTGCTTTTAGAGTGACACTTGGCCACGCCATATAGCTGTGGTCTCGTCGCGTTGTCGCGAAAAGACTAACACTGACGAGAAAATAGGTCACTTTACGTGATATTCGCGAAGAGAATCTTCAGTATTTTGTGAGAAGTAAATAAAAGTAAACGAAAAGTAAACGAAATAAATCAGCTGCAAATATATCTCTCCGTTAAAACTTTCCGCGCATTAGGGTGAAAAAAGAAATAAAAATCGCAGCAATGTGCAACACACACGTGATCGTTGGAAAGCGCATATTTACATACACTAATGTGTTTGACAAACGTACGACTATACTGAAAAGATAACCATTCCCTTTCGGTATTACAACATTTTATTATTATATTTTTATGAATGTATTCAAGAGGCAAAATATCCAATTTTGCTTTTATATGATTGACGTTATATTCTATAGCTATATTGAGATATCTATGTCAGGATTTAATTAATGCGCAACGCGCAAAACGTGCACGGATTTTTGATTTCAGAATTTTTACGACGGATAACGTCGAGCGTAACTATATAAACTTTGCGATGATTTCTATGGATATAAGTAAACGTAAACGTTGTGAAAATCCGCGGGAGCAACGAAACGAATATCGATTAGCTCCGCGTTAAAATGTACTCTCAACGTTATTCGCCGAAACGCCGCGCCGGGTGCGGTTCTAAATCCGATTTAATTCTCAATAAAAAGCGAAAATTCGATAACCGCTCAAGATCAAATGTAAATTTCGTCTGGATGTTACACGCATAAAAGTAGGTCGGATAGCGGTTAGCTATAATATCGAGTTTTACGAGATACTTTAGCAGCTTCTTCTAAAACCACGCATCACACATTCCTGTGAAAGAAAAATGTCGACAAAAATGTTTTCTCCAAGCGTATATTCAACAGTAACTTAACGAATACATCGTACCGTCTCTTCCAGACATCAAGAACTACGCAAACACTAATTAATTCCTCCTCTTCCTCTGGTCCGTGATCTATTAGCGTCGAATCTGCAGCTAAGCACTCGCTGTCCGCGAACGGATGCGGCGAATTGATACGCCGCGCATGAGATCGTTCGTGAGCGTTATCGATCCTTCACCATGGGCAACGCCGACAGCCGACACCGCGACACCGCGCCGTCGACCGTCGATGTCGTCGGTGTTGGTCGACGTTGGTCGGCGTCATCGTAGCGCGATGTATCAGTATCGGCGAAACAGGTACCGGAACTTTTGCCCGAGCACTATGACGATATTAACAAAGTTTCGCTGCTCAATTCACTTCACAGTACTTGATATCCAAAGATATCCGAGGTATTATATCAATCCGCGACTCGCATCATCTCTCGGATCGTTGTGCGTATCCGTGGATCGTGCAAATCTCGCGAACGAGCGAATCGTTCTGGCCTATCTACTCCCGGACAATTTCTTTCTTTCTTTCTCCGGACCAGTCATTTCGAACACAATATGCACAATCATTCTTTCTCGACTGTGCACAAACGTCGCCTGATTGCATGCCCCGAACCAGGACCGCTTCTTTCCGGGGGAAAAAAATATTTCGATACCAAACTTTTCCCTTTGACGTTTCGTAGAAACTTGTTTCCGTCAAAACTTGCCAAGTGCATCGCCAGCTGCTGCAACGAGATGAGAGAGGAGTTTCGCTGCGTTATAACTTAACTGAATCCATGGAGAGAGATTTATTGGACAAGGTAGGGAGGAAGAAAAGAAGAAGAATTTGGAGTAAAAATATAAGACAGAACATATATAAATGAAGCAAGAATATTGGACGGGATTTATTACCAGTAAGTTATCAAAATAAGAAGCAATCCCTTAATATTTTTATTACATTTTTCTATATAGATGGAATTTTCGATACACAATTAACTTTCAGTACTTATTAAAAAAATTCTTTCAATTTTTTTACATGTGTTTCTATTTTTGTAACATTAATGTACAAAGTATATTTTATTTGAATTTTTTTACAATTGTTCAAGACATTGATGGATATATATACATATACTTATGGCGCTAAGGGGATATATTCTGTCATTAATTTATATATAT